CCCTACATCCTTCTCTTTAGTCATTTTGAATCCTGAACACCACATCCTGCAGCCTTCTCCTCGGCTGCTACATGGTGCTGGAAGCTTCGTACACGTGAGCACAGAAAAGGAAGCTCATCGGAGAAGCTCTTTATCACCATGAGTGTCTGCTCTTGGGCTTAACAAAAACACCTCCTCACCCCTGTTTAAGTACTGAACTTTCACTGCAATCTATAAGGAGCTCAAAACTAAAACAGGAATTATGAGCCTATTTCTTGAGGTTTTTGGCCTTGGTCCTGCCTGATAGTTACTTTCGGCAAGGGTCACTGACTCTGGACTCTTACAGAGCAAAAGGCTTCCCGTGCTCTGTTTCTCTGTTCCCCCCATTTCTAGTTGCACTGCGTTACTCATTCCTTAGTAAGTTTCTTTTTAAGTGTAACACTGGGGATGACCATTGCTTATTTCTATGTGGGAATCAAATCACTGATCCTTTCCACAAGCACAAAATACCCCACAACATTAAAAAAAAGAGAAGAACGAGAATAAAGCAATACATAATTATCTACCACATGTCTCTCTACAGCTTTCTAATCAGACAGTGGAAAGCCTCAATATTTCTACACCGTGTACAGTTTTGCCTTGTATATCCCATTCGTATCTCTGAACTTACCTTGTCAAGGAAGGTGGGGCGGTCCATGGAAGACTCTTTGGAGATTGGTGGTGGGCGGCAGCCAAGGGGTTTGGTGACCATTCCATTATAGTCGGTCACTCCCATTCCACGCTTGTCCATTTCCACCTTCTTTTCCAGCAGAGCACCTTCGCGGAAAGGGGAAATATATTGAAAAAGGTGACACAGAGGCAGTGAATTTGCCAACAGTAGTTCAGAGAAGTAAACCTTGCTTACAAAAGCAAGAAAATAAATATTACCCAATTGATCTGGATAAGAACAAACTCGCAGAATCGTGAACAGTTCCTGAGTTGCTTTAAAGAAAAAAAAAAAAAAAGTAGTTACATGGATACTTACTCATGGCCTGGTCGAGATTCATATTGTTGCTCTTCAAGGCCTCTTCCGCTGGCTCTCTCTGTCAAAAATATGGATTATGTTAAAGAGAAAAAGTAATCATGCTTATACAATTTCAAAGCAAACTGAGAAAACAGCTATGTGTCTTAAATACCGGATGCAGTATTTACTCAGCAGCACAAACAGTGTCTGCGCACACTTTTTTCTGCTTTTAGCCATTCCCACAACAATTCAGTTAGCTTCAGTTTGTCAAGTCAGTACCAGTTCTACAAGGTCAGATCATATGGTTCTGTTTAAATTTCCTCCTGTTTGCTGCAGACAACTTAAATACCACTGTGATATGCCTTTCTCTCAAAAAACCAGCTATACACTAATTTCACCTGTTTAGTAAGAAAAGGGGAACAGGAGTGGAGGGGGATTATTACCCAAGTCCAAAGTAACACCTGGTGTTATGAAACTGAACTTCAAAAGATCTACAACTGTCATCATGCAAAGCGTATCACCGAGTGATCTCAGAGAGCGCTCTACTGGCTTACGGTGGACTTCTGAGAGGAGAGGAAATGTCTCCACGCAGGTAACAGAACTACTTCCCGGCCTGAAGCAGAGACTGAGGATGTTTTTGTTGCTACAGTCTGAAACAGCGGAAGCCGGAGCTACAAGCTACAAGAGTAGCTTGTGCGCTGGCTGTGAACGCTACTCACAGGGAAGCCCATGTCTGTGAGCTGTTTTATCAGACGGTTCATGATCCAGGCCTCATCTTGCTTGCTAGATGTCTTCATGCCCTTGGTAAATAAATGGGAGATTCCATTAATGGTCTGGTGCCCATCTTCATACTTGTGAGACGTACATAAAATACATGGTAAGTTTTTTTATTAATAAGACATGCTACTGAAAGATGTATTAGTATATTAATTTAGAAAGTATTGAAGAACCCTCCAAACAACGTAACTACGATTCTTTTCCCCCACAAAGTGTACAAATTTTATTTCAGCTGAATAGGTGTTCAGTGTGCTATTCAGTATTTGATTTGCTGACCACTGAATTTAAGCCACCTTTGAATTTACGGATTTCATTTTAATCCTTGGCAGAAAAACATAATGAAATAGAAGTTTCTGAAATAGTACAACACTTCCTGAAAAACATTCCCAAAACCAAGTTTGCAACCTTGAAGTTAAGAATGTTACTCAGTGTATTTTCTTAAAAACAAACAAGAGCGTCTAGATAAACACCTTTAAAAGATCTCTGTGCAGCTTTTCTATCACAAAATCCTTAAGAAGTCTCTTCCTTTCAGTTCTCCAGAAAGTACCAAGGGACAAGCGTGGATTTGTTTTGGGCTGCGGACAGTACAAGAAACAACCATACTTGATCAAATCACTGGCCTAACCGTCGGCTAACGGAATAACAAAC